GAGAAGAAGGAGCTGGCCAAGAGGAGCTTCTCCAGCCAGAGACCCCTGGTGGACAGACAGAGCCGGAAGCTGGAGCCGGGAGGGTTTGGGGAGAAGTCTGGGAGGCCAGGTGGTGGTGACGCTTCTCCCCGTTACGAGAGCCAGCAGAACGGGACGCCTTTGAAAGCCAAAAGGTAAAACGAAAGCAAAGCCCAGGTTCTCTTCTCGCTGTCGTTCTGTCATCCGGCCAGTTTTCCAAGCCGCACTTCATGCATGCCTGTCCCACCACGTGCCAAGGGCCCCTGACCCCCTGCTCCAGAAGGGCGACTGCCCGGCAGGCCATTGTGTGTGAGCGTCTCCATCACCTGCCCGTGCACCGCTTGTCTGCTTCTCTGTGGCGTCCTGTTGTTCTTGTGGCCTGAAAACTAAGACTAGAGTCATCCCCACAGCGGTCCTCTGACGGTGGCTGCTCTAGCGTCTGTCCCAAGGGTTCTGCCTTCTCGTGTGCCCTGGAGTCCTGCCGAGGGGCCACTGTAGCAAGAGGTGTTCCCTGTGCCCGGTGCGCACCGGCCAGCCCATCGGATGCCTCTGCTTCGGGGCTGCCGCCGGGCAGCGTCCCACTGGGGCATTGCTGCTGGCCGCCCTGCCCCCTCTTCCCCGACGGGAGGAGGTAGGGCACCGCCTCAGGGACTGCCACCGCGTGTGCTCAGAGCCAGGCAGCAGCAGGGGTGGGCTCGGCTGCCTGAGGCCTAGTGAGCGTCTCCTGCCTGGACGTAGAGGCTCTGGGGTGGGTGGTCTGTGCTCTATGTCGGCTCATCGCCCGCAGGCGGCCCGGCACCGGGGAAGAGGGCCGTATGCAGGGGGTGGCCGGTGGAGCCGGCGTTCCTGACCACACACGGGCCACAGCTCACGTGCCGAGGAAGTCTGCTTCCCGCCTCCTTTCCTTCTCAGAGTCCAGGGCACAGAGCACAGAAACCTGGGGTGTAATTAAGTCTTCCCCGAAGAAGGAGCCTCAGGAGAACACAGGATACTTCTGGGTGCCGGTCCAATTTAGCTTTCCAGGACGCACGTGCCGAGACTTGGCTGTGCTGCTCATCTCTGCCCCAAGAGCCGGGTGGTAGGGTGAGGCATCGGCTCCGTGCTGGCTGGCCCGTGCGACAGGAGCAGAGAGACGTCTGCATGGTTCCAAGCGTGCCCCTTTTCTCTCTCCCTGCCGGAGCCCCGCTGGGCTTGGCACACTGGGGCAGAGAATAGAAGCTCAGAGTCCTGGACCGGGGTCGGGGAAGAGCAGCTGTAGGACAGCTCTCTGGGAGCAGGGAGTGGGTGGCCTTGCATGTGGGTCTGCACATGACACACTGCTGCCGGACGAGACGGTGGAAGGACATGGGTGCAGATCAGGGCGCATGCAGTGCGCAGCTCAGGGCGCGTGTGCGTGTGGTGTGCAGATCAGGGTGTGCATGTGCGTGTGGTGTGCAGATCAGGGCGCATGCAGTGCGGAGTTCAGGGCGCGTGTGCGTGTGGTGTGCGCTCATGTGGTTGTCCCTTTTCTCTCCCCAGCCTGTGGTCACTTCTGAGCTAACGTGGTTCTTCTTCCTTTAAGGTCCCCTGATGAGGCCTTGCCAGGAGGTCTTGGCTGCAGCAGCGAGAGCAGCCCCTATGCCCTGGAGCTGGCAGCCCACACCACCGCCGACATCCCGGATGCCCCGTGCGAGAAGGCAGAAAAGGAGGCCAAGCTGGCCGCCCAGAGGGCGAGCGAGCAGGGAGAGACCATGGCACAGTTCGATCTGAGCTACGGAAGTAAGTCTCGCCTCATCCCTTTGGGGTTTGGGAGGGCCCCGAAACCCGCCCGTGGGGCTCTGTGGCTGCTGGGCCAGGCCCTGGCCACGGTGCCGAGCGGAGCAGACGCGGCTCCTGCCCTCATGTTGCTCGCAGCCTTGCCGAACCCGTAACAGCCCTGCCGTGCCCCGGTCTTAAAGAGGGGGAACCTGCGGCCCAGAGCGGTTGACTGGTTTGTTCAGGGTCACGTGGCTGGTTGGGGGAAGCGCGTCTGTGTCCAGAGGCGCCTCTCCACTGGGGTGTTGCTGAGGTCTTCGGGTTCGAGGCGACAGTGTGTTAGACGGCGTGACAGAACAGCGTGGAAGTCACAGCCAGCTTCCGTGGGCGCCGTCGGACGCGGCTGTCGGAGGCTCGACCCCCGGCACCGCCAGCCTTCGGAGCTGAGCCGTCCTAGAAATGCAGTGACTGCAGGGTTGGGGGTTTTGGCTGCTGGTGAACGGAATACTGTTCCTTCTTGTGACATCTTGATTTAGATTCCATTATTGAGAATTGCGGGTCCAGCCCCGGAGAGGAGAGCGAGGCGGGCTCCGTGGTGGGCGAAGGTTTCATCCAAGTCCTGACCAAGAAGCAGCGCCGGCTACTGGAGGAGGAGAGGAGGCGGAAGGAGCAGGCGGTGCAGGTGAGGGGGCAGGGGGGCCAGAGGGAGGGGCTGGAGGAGGAGGGGAGGCAGGAGGAGCAGGCGGTGCAGGTGAGGGGGCAGGGGGGC